GTTAATAACTACTTATGTATATGCCAATCAAGCACTGATTAAGAAACATTACTGTCAAAAACATGTGAAGATATGATGTAGCAGGGCTAACTGACTTACCGTGGGAGTGTACTCTTCCAGCTGCATGAGGAAATCAGCCAGTGGCGTGGTGGAAACAGCAGGCTTCACATCTCCATTGGTGATGCCACCAGGAACATACACTCCATTGGAAACAGATGTGTCTGCAGACGGTGTCACCACAGCCGATGAGGACGAAGCTATAAAAAGAGACATCAAGAAGGGTCTATTAAATGCTTGGAAAAAGGGTGGCTTTACCCCTCTGGAAAATTAGGCAAAAGGAGGCCAACTGAACTTCTTTAAGTTTGTGAAGACGTTTCACGTCTTATCCAAAAGCTTCTTCAGTTCAAATAACGAAGGTGGAGAGTCCCAGATATTTAAGCCCTAGTGCAGAATGTCACCTTTGGAGATAATCGTTGACCTACTATTAATCATGTGTGACATGACATGAGCCAAGGAGTTAAAAAAGGGAATGAGTCATTAAACCAGAGGTTTCAAGTGAAATTAAAGTGAGACCTTGCCCCTCCCTATCATGACCTATTGAGGTTACCTGAGGCAAGGGTTGAAGTGTCTGGAAAGGGATCTCAAGATAGCATTGAAGGTGGCAGCTTGTGTTCAGTGATGTTTGTTGACACAGGGCAAAGATGGCCTATTTTACTCCTCTTTCAAACCATCTGTTTTGTCAGTCAAAAATGTGAACATTTGTATCATCAAAAGAGTGTAGCTGTGCATCTGCACCTAAAGGATAAGTTGCACCTTTTGCCGCTTGGTTATTTGGCCAGTGGTGTTGAGGATTTAGGTAAACTTGATTAAATTATAAACACACATGAATAGGGTCAGATTTTGATATCCACCACAAAAAACTATCTGGACACAGTTTCATCTTTTAGCATGACAATGACGCCAAACATATTGCTAATGCATTAAAAAATACCTGGAAAGAAAAATATACAATTAAGCACTATCACTCATGGATCGGGATCCCAAAGAACAAACTTCAACTTTACTGAAGAATAGTTGGACCACCTTGACAGACAACATAGCAAAAGGCAGCCAACATCCAAAGAAGCTTTAGATGTCCTTCAAGAAGCCTGGAAAACTATTGCTAAAGACTACTTGGAGAAGTAGTTTCCCATTTTTACATAAAAATTAAATCTATCTTAAGGATGGGGCCTAAGGGTATTTCACCATCTCACAATGGTGTGACTGCACCAATTCCCCAACTCTCACTGAACGGTACCCATGGCCATTAATTAATGATCATGACAATTTCTATATTAGTAATCAGGAAACTGACCTAACAGTTAGTCAGTTGTATTAGTTTCAGTCTTTATGCAAATGTAATGTTCACAAGGTTGGGGACCCCACAGTCAGCTGAAACTGAAGACGTCACTTGAATGAGTGATAAAACATATCTCAACAGTCAGATAAATAGAATCAGAACTTTCTGTAACGACTTAAAGAACCTACAAGAAAGCTTGCCTGAGAGAATTCAAGCTCTTTTAAATAATAAAGGTGATCATATCAAATATTCACTTTATTTTCAAGCTTGTGAGAATTGCACAAACTCTGTTTTTACCTTATATACTAACATTTTTGCAATACACTGTACCCATTTCCAATCTTCCCTGGCAAAATATAAGGAAATCATGGATGGCTTGAGACTTTTGCAAATTACTGTACTAACAATCTAAAAATTGCTACAGTGGTTAAGTTAGTGATACGGACTTAACCTGAAACATGGTAGTTGGTAGGTTTTGTAATAAATATGTTTAAATCACTTTAGTGTAAGGCGGCAGCCAGGTTAGTACGCGTTTCTCTCAGTCAGGCTTGGTAATGTTGACAAAGTCAATGTACATCGTGGAAAATTCCGACTTCCACAGCGAGATGAAATCATCAAATGCTCTCAGAATAATAACAAAGACAATAACAAAGCCACGTTACGTTACCATTACTTGTGACCGACGGGATGCTGCTCACGTTGGTTGTCGTATTATCATTGGCAATGCAATTACTTGCCGTTGACGATGTGGTAGAAGGCACTCCTGTTGTTACAGACTGATTTAAGTTGTCCATGTTCATGTTGGCGTTAGCTAACGAGCTAACCGTGGTTAACTAGCACCGAAATATGCAAAACACCACAAATCCGCGATTTGTAGCTGTAAGACAAATATTTTACAAAATTCTGTTTTAGTATAACTCTACCCTTTAATTCAACGAAATGAATTACCAAAACTAAAAAAAAAAACTATAACTCGTAGCAGAAGTGTTCCTAAGTCCTTTGCAGTAAAACGCTGAGCCACCACTGTAAAGTAGATCACTTCACGTGACCTATAGTCATCCTCTTCTTCTATGTGTTTTATTGCTGACTGCACACCGCCTCCTACGCCCCCTGCCGTAGCGGAGACTGTAGGTTATAAATTAATACACTTTCTTCATGATATTTAAAGCATTTAATTCAGATTTGTTCAAAATTATATTGTACTCACAAATATAAAATGATTAGTGTGTAATTATGTCTTCCAATAAATTGATGCATTCTCATACAGCTATAGGCCGGTGGCTCTGACATCCCACCTGATGAAGACCCTGGAGCGGTTGGTCCTGGCTCAGCTTCGGCGCCTAACAAGCTCATCACTGGACCCACTTCAGTTTGCCTACCAGCCTGGCATTGGAGCGGATGATGCCGTCATTCACCTCCTACATCGTTCCC